TTAAACGCAAGGCACGTTTGCAACGCCACGCTGTTCCACAGCCCCAAGTTACCTAACCTTATATTGTTCCCAAGTTGTTACTGGAACCTTACATTGTTCTGAAGTTGTTACCGGAACCTTATATTGTTCTGAAGTTGTTACCGAAACCTTATATTGTTCCTAAGTTGTTACCGGAACCTTATATTGTTCTAAAGGTGTCACCGGAACCTTATATTGTTCTAAAGGTGTCACTGGAACATCACGTTGTTCTTGCAATCTTCCGAACAGTTTGACAGTCAGACAGAGGTTCCAGGATCGCACCGATCCCGGATGCCGTTGCTAGGCGATCGCGCACGAGCGCTGCTTCCTTGGCTGCGACATCGCGAAAGCCGAGTCGAACCCGTCAGTAGAGGGTGCCGCGGGCGGGTCGTCCGGCTGTCCGTCGATTCTCACCATTGACGCGTCGACGTCAACGAACGTCACGCGGGCGCGCCGACCAGCCTTCCCACGATGCATCGCCTCGGCGAGAAGCGAACGTTCGGGCGTCCGCGAACGCCGATCGCTCGTCGGGAACGAGACGTCGACATCGTCGTCGTTGACGATCCCGGCGCGCTCCGGCGGCGTTCCGACGATCGGCGACACGCTCTCGGACAGGCCGTCCTGCACGCGTGCTGCCACCTGGCGGTTACGAGCCGCGCATCTGCGGCAATCGCCTCCCTGAAACTCCTCCTCATCCTCCTCCTCCTCATCCTCGTCCTCCTCCTCCTCATCCTCGACCCAAGTATCTTCCCCAACCGCACGGGGAGCCTTCCTCATCTGTCTCTGCGCGACTTCCCAGGGAGGCGCGTCCTACGAATTCCTCCGCTGCTCTCTCTCACGTCCCAGAGCCGTCCGGGATCGGCGAACGGCAGGTAGCCACGCCTCCGCGCGACCGGCCGGGAGCTGACTTGTCGGAAGAGTAGACGCCGGTCAGCCGTACGCGTGTATCTCGTCCTGCACTCGGCATCGGCACCCGGTCCGCAAGTGGTGGCGCAGCGGCTCGCTCGCTAATCTAAGTCCGTGTCAGTAGTTCCCACTGCTACTCGCTGTAGGTTGGCGCCACCATGACCCAGGGGCGTCAGCGAGACGCGCGGAGAACGTAACGTTCTTTTCTCGTAGTCGAGCAGCCGTTTGCACGGAGATGCTCTCCACAGTCGCCGGCCGCCCTCTAGACAGCGAGCCTCTTCAACTCGTCGTCATTCCGACCGCACACGGCCCGTGCGCCTGTCCGGCCTCTCGCGCTGCTGCCACCTGGCGGCCGAAGTCCCCCCCCCGAACCGGCCGTCCGACTCGTCGACGTCGGCGCGCGGAAATCGACGCCGGCTCGCCGGTAGCGAACGTTGGTGGCGCAACTCGGCAGGTCGGCCGCGCGCCCCCTGGCGCGGCTGCTCGGTGCGCTGTCGGGCCTTACCTCGTGGCGCGAGGCTTGTAATTTTGGCGGAGAGGCCGGCTTCCAGATGAGTGCGACTCAACCAGCTGAAGCCAGAACCTGCCCAGTCCCGCTTCCATGATGCCGCCTGCCAGTGGGGCGCCGGCGGTCGCCGCAGACGGGCTCAACTCGCGCGAGCTCTCCGGTGGCGCCACCGTTGAGTCGTCCCCGGGGGAGCCCGGAGCAGACGACAGTCCGAGTCACACGCTCGCCGAACGCTCGGGTCGGAAAATCCGGAAGCATCCGCTGCCGATTCATTCCGGAGGTCCGCCGCCGAGGCGTTCCGTACTCTCCCGTCTCGTTCCGCGGTCTTCGCGGCGACAAGCTGCTGCGTCGCGTCCGCCTCGCACAGCTCCGAGTACCAGTACTGCTTCGATTAAATCCGCCTCCTCCCCGTCCGCCCTCTCTCGCCGGTTCCGAGCCCTCCTCCTCCGCCGCGCGACTTCCGATCCGGCATTCCGAAACGACAGCTCTGCTCGCCGGCCGCCGCCCCTCCGGCGACCTCGTCCGGGGTCGCTCCGGAATGCGCTCCGCCTTTCCCCTCCCGCGACGCGAGGAGGCCCGGCAGGAGAGCGCGCCTGGAGAATCTTCGGAGAGCAGATCCCCCTGGTGCTGCAGGAGGAGAGAAGCTGTCGAAGGCACAGTGGGCGCCGCGTCGGCCGCCGGTCGTCACGCCACCCGGCATTTCGCTTACTTCCCGTAGAGGGCGTCATCGAGGTGTCTGCACCCTTGCACGATATCGGCGTAGACTGGAACGGCAGCGCGCCTTCGCTGGCCTCTCATCGCGAGCTCTACGCCCTATTTACCGCTGGCCATCTACTGAAAACACACAGCCGTTGCACTATGCTTCTCCTTCTCCCTCGTTCCCTCCTTGAAAGGAATCTTCTCTCCATCTTCTCCTCATTGCTCTCTCGTGAGAGCGGGAAATTCTCTCGATTCATCTTCCCACTCCTCTTCCTCTCTCGTGAGAGCGGAAATCTCTCTTTCCGTC